CCACTAATTTTTGCCTAAACAGAACCCAATGATCTAGAGTTGTGGTCTTCAACCTAGGGGTTGGGTGGCAGACAGAGCAACTCCCCCCCCACCAAGCCATTTGGACTCAGAAGCCGAAGTGGAAAGCAGGCTGGAGTGACCTGTCCCTTCTTTCTATGGACAAATGAATCTGCCTTCTCCTGACTCAGACTATTCCAGAGGGCGGCCGCTCTCCAGGGTCTCTGGCTAGGTGTACCACCCTCCAGGTGGGACCTGGGGAATCTACCAGAATTACACTAACCCTGTATTTTCATTCAAGTTATTACAGGTTCTTTGTCAAGTTAAGTGATGTTTTTAGTAGAGAGTATTGTCAAGGCACTGTTGCTTTTGTAGGATCCCTGTTTTTCTTCCAAATCCTACATGTTTTCTGCCATGAGCAGAAAATTTCAGAAGCCTTTAAGGAACAGAGAAATGATTTTAACACATTCACATAACTTAGGGCACTGAAATATTTAATTGGTGTTTCTACTCTAGAATACATAGGTAGCCAATGGGTTCTACAGTACCATGTTCTACAAGATGGTGACTACTGAGAGCCATTGCCCTGAAGAAATGGGAATAAAACCTTGTTTTTGTATAAATCAGAAAGATCACTACTCACTACTGCTGACTGATCATGTCAATCAGAATGAAATACGTTCCAAACAGCCAGAAGCAATCTGAACAGAAGGACCGTCCGGAAGTCCACTCCAGATTAGCATCCACTCCAGTTTAGTGATTTATATTTTGCAGTAGTTAAGTGCACCAAAATCAATTCATCCCAGATTTTAATTATAGTTCAGTCTGTTGTGTATTACTTCATTTTCCAGCTTTATGGCAACTTTACAACAGATTCACAGCATTGTGAGTCAGCAAGAGTCACAGAATCCTGGAATCTGAGTCCTGGAATGTGTCATCTAGTCAAACCCACAGATCAGTGCAGGCGATCTGAAACAAAAGCATTCCTGAGAGATGATTGTCCAGCAACTGCTGAGAGTTCTCCAGTGAGGGAGATACTACCCAGGCAATTGGTTCCATTGCCGAACTACACTTATCATTAGAACACTTCTTCCAACTTTCAATCTAAATCTAAACATTTGTAACATTAGATCTAGTCTTATGCTCTTAAATAGCAGAGAAGATAAAGACTGGCTTTCATTTCTAGACACTTGTTTTCGTATAAAATACATAGGAGGAAAGGATAAGCTGAATAAATAATGGTTGGGATTTCAACTGTTAAGTTTGCCTCTGGATCTTCTTGACAAATTTGATAAAGACTGCCCGGGAAAGCCTGATCGATAAAATGCTGAGGAAGCTGGCTAAGTTGGCTATTCACTACCCCTGCGTACATCCACAAAAATTCCTCTTTCCTGGTGGCCCTCAGTCAGACGGGAGAGGTATTTTCCCCCGTCCCCTCCTCCTCCTCCCTCAGGACGTGGGCAGGCTCGGACCGATGAGGCTGCCGGCCAGATGAGAAGCACCGTTGTGTGGGGAAGCGGCTGCTTCTCTCTCTGTCTCTCTCCGTCTCTGCCTCCTCCCTCTGTTGTCGTGACTCATAGTGGCGGTGACTGAGGGAGGGAGCAGAGGAGGTGCCTGGGCGACTCCAGGTGGGAGGGACCCGCCACCTCTGCCACTCCTGCCGCCGCCCGCTGTGTCCCAGCAGCGCCCGAAGCCACCGAGAGGTGGCAAGCGGAGTTCGCCTCAGACAACGGTAGCCGCGTGGCCTGGGAGAGCCAAGCAGGGGGCAGGCAGGCCTTTCCCAGGGCGCCACAGCTCTGCGTGGCCTGGAAAAGCCAAGGAGCAGGCAGGCAGGCAATTTACCTTCCTCCCTTTGCTTTCTCGTGGCCCGACTGAGGGCTGCTGGGAGCAGGGGGCGGGGCTTGGTCATGTGCCCACCCCCTCGGCTCCTCACTACTGGAGCACCACTCCTCCGTGTTCCAGGTCCAACCGACCCCTGCTGAGATTATATCTGATAATGCTCAGCTGCTCATCCTAGGTTTAAAAGGCTAGGTTTAGCAATATACTAGTAATTAAAAGACAATAATTATTCTTTCTTCAACTTCATTTATTAGTAATCAAAGGCTGCAGTCACACATACTAGATAATCCACTTTCAATCCACTGTGTGAACTGGCAAAATCCAGTTGGAAAGTGCACTGAAAGTGGATTGTTTAGTGTGTGTGACCGCAGTCAAAGATATAAGGTCTTGTACTTTTCCTGAAAGAATGCTGAACTCTCTACAAAGATGTGAAAAATACACAAAAACATTGGTTTTGTTGTGCAAAAAGTACCTGTTGACACTAAGGGCGCGATCACACACACAATTAGCCATGCCATAGACGCGAGTGCCGAGCAGATTTAAAGGGCGCGATCAGACATGAACATCTGGGAAGCGCCCCGCACCCATCGGCAACCCGTTTTGCTTCGCCACAGAAGCGGAGTCAAAAGATGTCAGGGAAAGTCTGGTAGCAAACAGGTTGCTACGTGCCACGGACGGACTTTCCCCTGTCTGATCGCTCCAGCGTGCTCTCATGGCATTGGGATGGTCTGATCAGGCCATCCCGACTCTGTGCCATTGTTTTCCCCCCCTTCTCAGTATGCGCATCATCACACACTCCATAGGGAGCCCTCACTGCTGAGATGTGATTCATCGATTCCCCGTTTAAGCAAATCGAGAGCAAACGCCAACCCCCCCCCAACTCACCCGCAGTTGCATCTGATCATGCAGTGGCGGGCTGCCCCCGCAGCTTCAAAGGACTGTGTAATCGCGCAACTGCGGGTCAAATTCCTCCAGAGGGAACAGCCTCACACACACACACACACCGGTTTATCTCGCGTGTGTGACTGCACCCTAAGTACCATTATGGGTCAGCAAGCCCAGGATGTGGCAGCCAATAGTGGCTGTCTTAACTCTAGGATACAGCATGCATTTTTCTTATAAGCAGGGCTCTTTTTGTAGCAGGAACTCCTTTGCATATTAGGCAACACACCCCTAATGTAGCCAATCTTTCAAGAGCTTACAGTACTCCCTGTAAGAAGAGCTCTGTAAGCTCTTGGAGGATTGGCTACATTAAGGCGCCTAATATGCAAAGGAGTTCCTGCTACAAAAAGAGCCCTGCATGAGTAACCATAACTTTACTACCAGGGTACTAGCTCTGATTCAACCCTATCTAGCCATGGCAAGGATATTGCTCCCTGTCTTTCAGGACACAGACTCCTTCCTCATAAAACAGATGAAGTTTCCCCCTTGAATAGTTAGCCCCTTCTTTTATGAGAATATCTGTACTATAAATTAAAATCACCTTCCAGTCACTGGACTTTCTCAAAAGAACCTTAAGGACTGTTGTCTGTTTTTGTTAAGGCCTCCCCCTTTGAAAAGACCCTCTGTAAAATTATAATTCTTAGGACCTAACTACACAGTTTACTGTTCCTAGGTCCATCCTGTGGCCTACTCTAGGTCCTGATAAGCAAACTGCACTGAGTGTTCCCAGATGAAACTTAGATTCTCATGCATATGGGGGCTGATTTGGAACAGGACTGCTGCACACTGGTAGATAGGGCTTAATTCTTTCCTCGGTGCAATTTTCCTGACCTGAAATGATTCCAGGGAGTTGCTGTTTGCCCCATGAGGGGCTACTGTGCACAAACAAACTACAAATTTCCCCTACCGTGCAATGTATTTATTTATACCCCACTTTTCTCCCCAAGGGGGACCCAAAGCATCTTACATGGTTCTCCTCTCCTCCATTTTATCCTCACAACAACCCTATGAGATAAGCTAGGCTGGGAATGTGTGACTAGCCCAAGGTCCTCCAGCAAACTTCCATGGCAGAGCGGGAATTTGAACCTGGGTCTCCCAGATCCTAGCCTAACTAACTTCTAACCACTACACCACTCCATGTTGGCTTTCAAACAGGGCTTCCTGGGCTGTTTCAAGTCAGGAAAATGGCTTAAACCCCCTCTCCTTGTGCATGGCTTTCACAATCCAAGTTGGCCTCCATGCACCTGGGAATCGATGTTTTACCAAGGAACTCATACGACATGACTGCTTGACAGGACCTTGGGCAGACCTGGAGTCAGACTCAGAAATAGGATACTGTGCAGTTTGGCCTGCCTCGTTAATCTTTACAATCCCATGCTAAAAATTCATCAGATTTTTAAGATCTGCGATTTGGTTTTTGAACAAAAAAAATTCTTTAAATTAAAAAAAATAAAAATCCACCATCATACTTCAAAATTTGCTTCTTCGGATCAGTTACACGAATGTATATAAAAATGACTAACTTCAGCTGCAAGTCAGCTGTTATATACTGTTAAATGTTGACAGAAACAACAAGGCTCACGTTGAATATTTGAGGAGTATTGGTTAAAGCACTTTATTTATTATTGTTGTTATATATAATTGTTATTATGATCTTATTGTTTTATTGGACTTTATGCATGGGCTGTCGCCCCTTGTAAGTCGCCCTGAGCCCGCTTGCAGGGAGGGCGGGGTAAAAATGCTTAAATAAATAAAATAAATAAATATGAGAGAATATTCTGCATCACAATTCCCAAAGTAGAAGGCTTGGGGGGAAACGCAACAAAATGCATGAAAAGCAGCACAAACAATGAGGAGGAGGAGAACCAAACTGCAAACAAGCTCCATGTTCCCAGATGGGGGAATCAGGGACAGACAGACAAATCATGCAGGGATAGATGGAGGGCAGAGGACTGGAGAACTGAGTCTTTATATCAAATACTTCTGCAAATAAAACTGTTGAGAAGCATTTCACTGACCAGGATCAAGACTTTGTAGACATATAAAAGACAGGCTGGTTTAGAGAGGGACAAGTCCAACTGCTTTTACTCAAAGTCACACAAACCATCCAAAGTGAAAGGAGAAGCAGAATTCAGAAATTCCTGGCTTGTGGCCCTTCAGGTGTTACCCACAAATGTTTGCAAAGGGCCCATGACTGTGATCTGGGATGGTTCACTGCTCACCTTTCCATCCTGATCACACGGGGTATGTATTTGGAAAAAGTCCTTGTTGGTACAGGGTGGTCGCTCCTTACAGTGGCTGGAACCTTCGTCTGAAAGCAAAATAGAAGAAAATGGGCTCAGGGGAAAACAGTGTGAGTTAGACAAAGTCCATAGGTTCTTTCCCAGAAAAGTAGGTGCATCTGCTACGGGCACAATTTCCCAACAGAAGCCCTTGAATGCTTAGTGGTGCTGAAGTCCACACAGCAAGAAAAGGCCGTCCTGTTTGTTTGTTCAGCATGCTCCTTTTGTTGTTGTTCAGTCACACAGTCGAGTCTGACTCTTCATGACCCCCATATACCACATCACGCCAGGCCCTCCTGTCTTCCGTCGTGCTCCAGAGTTTGCTTAATTTCATGTTCGTTGCATTTTGCTCCTTTTGCTATCGTGTTGTTAAACAAGTTGTGGCTTGATGCCTTTGAAATAATGAGGTTATCCCACTCACACATATGAGATGAAACATGACCACCAATAACAACTGTGTGCATCAGCCTTTTGCACTCGGCTGCGCACATCCCATACCTGCATAGTGAGTTTTTTCTTGACACTTAGTGCAGTCCTTAGCACCCATTTCCGAGTATGTATTTTTAGGGCAGACTTGGCAAGTAGATGAGCCAGTTACATTGCTAAATGTACCAGGTTTGCAGGGAAAGCATTCAGACGTATAGGTCACTCCTGTAATACAAAACAGACACAGCCAGAGGAATTCAGCCACAGACAATTTCTACAGCTTCACAGAAGAGCCAGTGAGGTAAAGTAATAAGTTCAGGTCAGATCATGGTATATATAGCAAAAATATATACACACACACATACACATAGGAGGAGGAGGAGATTGGATTTATATCCTGCCCTTCACTACCCAAAGGTGTCTCAGAGCGGCTTACAAACTCCTTTCCCTTCCCCTCCCCACAACAGACACCCTGTGAGGTAGGTGGGGCTGAGAGAGCTCTGACAGAAACTGCTCTTTTTCAAGAACAGCTCTTATCAGAACTATGGCTTGCCCAAGGTCATCCAGCCAGGTGCAAGTGGAGGAGTGGGGAATCAAACCCAGTTCTCCCAGATTAAAGTCTGCACACTTAACCACTACACCAAACACTACATACACACTAGGAATAAGGCCCGTTGTGGAAATAAATACAACGAGCTCTAGAAAAAGGCTCTGGGTGGGTGCCATGGCCTTAGGCAGTCAGCATCAATTTACTGTGGTGATCTCAGCAGGGTATAATGACAGAGTCCACTGTTTTCTCCAGGGAAACTGATCTCTGCCATCTAAAGAGCAGTTGTAATTCTGAGTGATCTCCAGCCCTCACCTGGAGATTGGCAACAATGGTTCCCCAGGAGGAAATGGCTGGTTTGGAGGGTGGAGTCTATGCCATTGTACCTGGGGTCCCACTCCTCCTCAAACCCCACCCTCTCCAGGCTCCACCCCTCAAATCTCCAGGAATTTCACAACCTGGAGGTAGCAACCCTATCTCCTTCCCAGCCAACCATCAATGTAACGTTATCTGCCCCTCTGACTTCAGCTTTCCCTCTCCTCTCCCTTCTCTGCAGCCTCTACCTAGGAAGAGTACAATCTTTCTCCACATTGGTGACTAAAGCAGCTCACATCATTCTTATCCCCCCCTTTTGATCTGCACAACAACCCTATGAGGTAGGTTAGGCTGAAATTCTGTGACTGGTCCAAAATCACCCACTTAGCTTCTGGCAGACCCTGCTCTGAGGCGCTAACTGCTATATCACACTGGCTGTCTTAGGGAGGCCACCTCAGCAGGGTATAATGACACAGAGTCCCCCATTTTTCCCAGGGGAACTGATCTCTGCCATCTGGAGAGCAGTTGTAATTCTGAGTGATCTCCAGCCCTCACAATGGTTCCCCAGGAGGAAAAGTACAGTCTTTCTCCACAGTGGGGACCAAAGCACCTTACATCATTTTCCTCTCCCCTTTCTGATCTGCACAACAACCCTGTGAGGCAGGTTAGGCTGAAAGTCTGTGACTGGTCCAAAATCACCCACTCAGCATCCACAGGAAGAACCTGGGTCTGGCAGACCCTGCTCTGAAGTGCTAACTGCTGCACCACACTGGCTGTGGTATCACCTGGTATCACAACTGAACTCCAGACAACAAATTTATCTCTCCCCCTGGAGAAAAATAACTGCTTTGGAGGGTGGACTCTATGGCATTCTATTCAGCTGAGGCCTCTACCCTCCTCAAACTTTGGCTTCTGTAGACTCCACCACAAAATCTCTGGGAATTTCCCAACCTGGAGCTGGCAACCCTAGTCAGGATAGGCCCCAATGAGTTCCCCACAAAGGCCAAAGTAGGCCTGGAAAGGGCCTCCTCCCCTGCCTTTTTACTGACAGAACCAAGCTTGGTTGCCTAGCAACAGCCACTGAGGGGAAAGTGAGCCACACAGCAAGAGAAGAAGAGTATAGTTTGACAGCTGCTGGCCCACCTCAATAGCCAGCTAGTCATGGAGGAGCCAAGCAAAAGAAGCGTCTTCATCAGGAGAGGCAGCCATTTTGACAGTTTATTCTGATAGGGAACAGTGGCCAGGCTGGCAGTAGGCGGGAGAGAGGAGCATGCCCAGCACCCAGCCAATGGCATGCAAGTACTCTTGACTGGCAGTTGATGGGCCAATGGCTGATGGAGCGTACAGCACAGCCAATGGGAGAGCTGAAAAGTGCCAATACGCCAGGGCCTTTATATATATCAGCATCTGAGAGTTCTAACATAAGTGTCTTGAGTACCTGATCTCACCTTTACACTTGCCTCAAGACACACGCAAGATAATTCTGGGCAATCCAAGAATCAAAGATTATGCTGGAGGGGCCCAGATAGGGCCAGACTGAGCCCCAGGCCATCCACTACCTACCACTATGTGGAAACAAACTGCAACGACCCAGAATAAGGCTGCCAACTTCAGGTTGGGAAATTCCCAGGGATTTAGGAGGTAGATTATGTGAAGGGGAGGGACCTCAGTAGGGTATAATGCCATGGAGTTCACCCTCCAAAGCAACCATTTTCTCCAGGGGAATTGATCTCTGTCATCTGAAGACCAGTTGAAAATCTGGAAGACCTCCAAGCCGCACCTAGAGCTTGGCAACTGTAGACCAGAAGAAAGTTAAGCTTACCATGAAGCAGAGTGATAGTTGCACTTCAGGCAACAGAGTAGAAAGCAATTTAAGGAACATTTAGAGCATTGCACAACAGCTGCCACCTATTAAATCATGAAAAGCCAATAGAGGGAAAGATCGAGGGAGGGACTGGAATTGGTAGGGCGGGGGCACAAATACACTGTGTGGCTCCATCTGGGAGTAGTGGTGTGAGGATCCACAGAGGATCCACACTGTGTACTTACCTAATAAATTAGCATTCTCTGTATCACACAGCCACCAACATGAATTTGCAGAGGTTATTTCGGGGGGGAACGCGGGGGAACGCAGTTCCCCCGGGTGAGGTGCAGGGGGGTGGGGCACATGACGAAGCCCCGCCCCCTGCTTCCGGCCGCCCTGCTTCCAGCCCTCATTCAGCCAGGAGGAGGCAGGAGATGAGGGAGGGTAAGTTGCTTCCTCCCCGCCTCTCCCCACCCCTGCCTGCCTGGGGCCAGGGAGGGCCTTGGCAGGGCTTCCTCGCACTCCCGCTGGCCTTGCAGGTCCACCGCCAGGCCCCTGATGTCAGGGGGTGTGGCATATGCTAATGAGTTATGCTAATGAGTTCCCCTCGCTCTTTTTCTACGAAATGACCCCTGTAGAACTTGTCATAGATCTGGTCAGCTGCATCGTTCTTGTGAGATCAGAAATTTCATTTTCAGAGAGCAAAAGGCTAAGTATGGCTAAAGTAAGTACATTCTTATAGGATAAATGCCACAACATTAAAGAATTTGTGTGCATCTAAAAATGATACCAATAAATACCTCCCTCCCTGTTTGTTCTCTCTGCTAGTCTAAAGACTTACCAGCAGAGGTCACCATTTACCCTGTAACTGAAACATCCAGTGAGAAGCTAATATCAAAAACCTGAACATTTTCTCATGTCATTTTAAACCTGGATTTTCCTCTACAGTTAGGGAGGAGGACCAGAAGGAGGTTGTATGGAAGGAAGAACACAACTTTTATGCTTTATAACTTCTTCCAAAACGAAGCAAGTCTGTTGGTTAAAGAACAGTGAAGTGCAAGAGATAGTACGTTGCTGTACAATACAGAAATATAATGTCTATGTAGTTCAATAACTGTGATACAATTAAAACTTGCACGAGGTATACCTTCAATGGTGATGTTTTTCACTAATACAGTTTTCACGGCTTGAGAACCCATAAAGATTCCCGTTGTTCTCCAGTATAATATATTAGTGCCTGATTTCAGAGTGACCTGGGAAGGAAAATGAAAGGGCAATAAAAATCTTGCCTGAGCAGAGAAACAAATAGAGCTTGCCTGAGCAGAGACAGGAACAGCCTGGGTAGACCTGTAGCACCATATTGCCCTGATGATTTAAATCACTCAGATACTTTGTGATGCTTCAAGGTACAGAGATTAAGAATTTAGCTTCACTGCCATGGTAGAATCCAACGAGGACAGCATCGCACTTCATATGATATGAGACAGGTTGCATACGTCAATTTTTTTTGGCATACTCATACAATTCCGTGTTTCCATAAAATCAAGCCCAAATCTGTTTCCAATGTGCAGAGAGGTTAATTGGCAGACAAGTCCACCCGGAAAGGTTTTCTGGTCTGAAAAGCACAGGGCAAGCCAGGCTAGAACCAGAGGTCATTTCGGGGGGGAACGCGGGGGAACGCAGTTCCCCCGGGTGAGGTGCAGGGGGGTGGGGCACATGACGAAGCCCCGCCCCCTGCTTCCGGCCGCGTGATGTCAGGGGGTGTGGCCTTATGACACACTTCCAGTGATGTCAGGGGGTGTGGCATATGCTAATGAGTTATGCTAATGAGTTCCCCTAGCTCTTTTTCTACGAAATGACCCCTGGCTAGAACTATCCTCTAGTGGAATTTTCACATGCTAACAGTGACTGTTTTGACTTTTGTGGCTAACATGAAATATAAACACCCATTAACCCTTGCTGCAAACTCCAAGGGGCAAAACAGAAAATGTGGTCAAAAAGAGGCCGACACATGAACTTTTGAGTAACTGCACCTTCCTCTTTGAAGGAGCTTGTGATCAAAGAGCCAAATCAAACATACTGGAAATTCAGCTTTTTAAATAT